CGGCACGAGAAGTGCAAAAACGCATAATCGCACCGGCCCGCCTGGTGCGTTCCAGCCTGGGTTAAAATCAGTACAATCTCAAATCATTGTTTGGCACGTAATAAATGACTAGAAATCCAAACTCTGTCGCTTACAAAGTCCGGAAATGATTCTCGAGTTTCATGGCAAACCACAAGCCAAGCTGTGAATGTAAGACGGTAATGGCTGCTCCTTGTTAACTTGGGGCTACTGGTAGTAAGAATCCTTCGATCGCCGACTGCCATTGGAGTAAGTGACACATAGAATGTCGAATTTTGTTAAGCTGTGAATAAACCAGCTCCGTGATAGAAACATTTATTTACAGAGTTTAGCTGCCCAACATAATCAAAATATTTAGAAAGTGACAATGTGACAAATTGCAAACTGAAATCAGAAAAAGACACAACAGATACAACAAATGAGATACATGCAATATGGATACTGCTCCGAAGCAGAGTGGGCTCGCGTGGTTAATCCACGATTTGAAATGAAACGAGCTCGGGCAACTGATCCACAGACTGAAATGGAATGCGCTCAATCGACCACTATGTTTAACAGAAAAGATATAGCAAATTGTGAGACGAGAGTTACGCGAGACAAGCTTATCAGTGAGGGACTACTTCCTTTGCGATCCGCTTTTCAGCAGCTGCAAGAACTCCCAATTTCCAAGGACAGCGCATTTTGCTGCACAGAATATGATGCGCGAAATACAGCTACATACAGCCACTGTATTGTGGACTCGCTTCTGACCAAAACTGCCTAAATGTGATGGGGCAAAGTATTGAAAGCGCAGCAGCTGAACGAGGATCGTCTTCGTCCTGAAGCCTTCCTTTTCCATATTTTGGATGCACATGTAACGGATCTTTATTCCTCTTTTTTTGATTTCTGCAAAACTTCGCTTTCGCCAGTTCCACTAGCACATGCATGCGACCAGCCGATCCACGAACATTAATTGATAGGATGATGTATTGGTGAATATTCTTTGCTCTTCTTGACTCTTTTCATCCGCAACCCTCGGCATTCTTGGATTCCGTCCAGGCTCTCACAGATGACTGGCATTGATGTCTTTGTAAAAAGATTAACTATTGCCGATATCTGCAGAAAAAACACTTTCAAAAATGCTGTCTCCGACACTCTGATTTCCCGCAAATAAGGCGGTGCTTTTATATAATTCCATGCATCATTGCGAGTAACGCCGTAGACGATCTTCTTTTTACCGAATCGTCCAACTGTGGCGTCTAACTGCAGCGTAGCGACGTCTTCGTCCATGCGCAGCCGATTCCGAAACCCCTATGAGCTGTATCCGATGAGCAGCCAGAAATGCCAACGGTACAGCATCCTTTCTTTGTCGCTCAACAATCACAAACCAGTGCCGTCCTGGACTGCCTCGATCCCGCTTACTTTCACACTTCCAGCATCTAATTCACCATGCAACCGCTTTCGCTCAGATTCAGGATCAACTGAATGACAAACGATTTCCTCGGCCATTTAAAGCTTTCAACGTCCCGTATGCAAATTTGATCGGCAACTATTGGAATTCTTTATGCAAATTTTGGTTAATTGTTATTCCTGCGAGTCATGATTTTCCGTAGAAGAGCATTTTCAACTGGTGAAACGGGCAGTTACTAAAACTCGGCCCAGTTGGATTCATACATGATCTGTAGATGATTTTTTCGGGTCAGCCTGCCCCGCAGCTAGGAGCGTACTGCTATTGCGGATGGTAGGGTGATGGAGAGGGAAGGGGCGGGCGTGTGGGGGGTTCCAGGCGCAGGACTTGAAAGTAGGAGAGGGGTTTGATAGAGTGGATTGAGTGGTTACGTGACGTGGCCATGCTGAGGAGGGGGTGGTGGGTGGAAAGGAGGGCTTCAGCGCGATGAATGAGCGTGTGCAGTTAGCTGGAAGCTCATGTCTTTTCCCATCAATTCACGTTTGTGGAACTCGCCCTTTGAATGACGAATATGAAGTCTGATTCCCTTTCCAGTCCATATGCTTTATAAAAAGAAGTCACGTTCTCGACAACTCAGTTAAGCGTGCGTTGCGTGTGTCGAATCGGGATGTTAAAGAATTCTGTTCATTGATGCTTAAAATTTCCCGGTTTCCAATTCACAGCACCAAACGAGATGGATGACCCGAAAATTTTTTTTGCTGTGGCGCGCAGAAACCTGATCAGAACTACTTCAGAACACAGCAGATTCTGAATCTAAAATTTCTGTGTTCTTTTGACAATTGGTCAGAAGTTATTGCTTACAGCCAATTTCCACATGCGCATTTTATGTATTCGTTACAGATTATTACAGCGCTGCTGTCTTTTGCCTTATTTAGCTTCACAATTACTGCGAAGTCTAATTTCGATAATAATTTGTTAAATTTTGATGTTATCAGTTTTCTCGAAACATTCCTATACGC